AGATGCACTCCAATTTCCTGGACAGAAAGGTAACATATTAAGTCTTTCCCTACACCTTACCAATTACCCCCTACTCTAACCCAGGCCGAGCCCCTTACTCTCAAACCACTAACCCCTAAGTTTCCAACATGACCTGGCTTTTGTATTTGTGTGTGTGTTACATATGTTCTTGCAGGAGGAGGAGACAGTTCCCAGAGTACACCTGAGGTTACCAATCTACATCTGTATAAAGTCTTGGTTGTTGTGATTGCTGTTGTGTTAAATAGTAAATATCATCCAACTGTCTCCCGAGGTGCACATATAGAGCAAGCTAGAGCACAGTCCTCTTAGTCCTTAATAATTTACTTGCAGACAACATTTCTTTCATGTTTCCAGTGGTTGTGGGTTGTGTGGTGGTGCATTGTGCCTGCATCAAACTTTTTGCATTCAGGCAAAAGTAATTAATTGTCAATGGAGCAGTCCACAACTTTATGGTGCGTTCTGTGTACCATATGCATTCAATATTTTCAGTTTGTGCGTTGTTTTACCATGCGGTGGTACAAACAGAAGTACACACAGACTCCACCTAGCTAGCTTTTAGTTAGTGTTGAAGCGAAGGACTTGGGCGTTAAGTAGGGAAAAGGCAGGCTAGACATCCGGAAAAACAAAACTCATTTGCATCTGGTGGACATCAGGCGTCAGGCTGGCCTCCAGTGCTAGTGTGCATGTACTAATGTGCTCCTGAAACGGGAACCAGCAAGATGTCACCCCCCACGAAACGTCGTGTGCGACAGAGAGTAGATTATATTGAAAACAATGGTTGGACATATTGGAGGCAGTTTCTAGTTCTTATAATAGCTAAGTGGGACAGGTGCTCCCTCTGTCAGAAGGCAAAGTCGTCTCGACTTAAAACAAAAGTTACGTAATTAAGCACATGTAGTAATGAGTAGGATTCTGTGGTTTCACATGCAAAAGCGATTACTTTTGATAGAAACGTGTTATCTGCCATCCCAATGAATGGTAGTTTGAAAATTCAAACGTCTATTTTATGGAAGGGATGTATGTTTCTGGATGATGCACCATGCAACCTTGTTGACAACATGACCGAGAGGCGCAAATTACTGTGTGATTTGAGAAGGGCGCTCCACCCTCCCCGCTTTCGCCCGATGACGTGACGGGATATACCCCGGTGTACCACGGGCCAGATTAATCGAGCCCCCTCAATAACTCTGAGCGCAATATCAATACCCGTGGGCGGGTCTTCTTAATTCTTACATCTAAAACTTTTCACAAAGCGCAGAAACATGACTTTTGGCTTTTAGAGTTGGGTTTCGACTCGAGGGTCTAGTGTATTGCTCCCCTTTGCGATAAAATGAGCTCATCATAAACCGGAGCAGAAAGAACACAATTGAATGCAGTCAAGTTTGTGTTGCCTCTATTCCGCGTCAGTAGGCTAGTTCCCTTCGCTGCAAAATGAGTTTGACAAGTCATCAGGGAAGTGACGGAATTTCAGAAGTTTTTTCCTTCGCGTTTTCTACAGCCCTACTGTAACACCTCATATATAACACCTAAACTTATACACCGACTCGACGTGCCATATAAAGGTAGGCGACCAACGCTATTGTAGTAGGCTAAATATATCCCAGTCGTGTTGTGTATTGACATTGCTTAGCAAAGTCAAAGTCAACTCAAGGTAGTTATGTATGTGACCCAGTATCAGTGGTTATAGGGACACAAATAACACAATAACGCTATACTACCTGTGTGTGTGTGTGTGTGTTTGTGTTGTGTGTCCTGTTCGAATCATGTGTTTCTCATGTGTCACCTTTGTATATGTAACATAGTATTCCGCGAAGGGACAACAAGGATACTCCAGTGATTCCACCCAGACCCAGTAGTGAGGTAGGACACTGATTTAATACACACAATAGAGCAGGGACCATAAACCGAAAAGTATCGACCCTACCGATCACTTATCGCAGGCATTTTCCTGATCTCGTTCATTACGATAAGTAGCCTATACTAGAGAAATGTGAAGTTAGAAAATGAAATGTTTGTTAATATGGTTGATTGGGACAATTGATGTCTACAACCAGTTTGTAAAAACTGTTATGTACAGTAATGTTATAAACTTATCGTTTTATTTATCGTTATCGCATTAATTCAAGATTTCTGTCCATATTGCCCCCCCATTTAATCCAGTGAGCTCATGTTATGTGTGTATGTGGTTGTGTGAATACTGAAACAAAAGTGTCCTATTGAATGGACGAATAGTGTTTCTTTGTTAGTTGTTTTTGTTTTTCATCAATTCATTCATTTGGTCCATGATATTGATGTGTTCTCTCTGTCCACAGGAGATGAGCAACACAACCACACACAGCTTGAACAAGGACAATGATACTAGCGGTAACTCACAGGTATAAGAGAGACTTACAATGCTGTAGTCACACACACACACACACACACACACACACAGCTTTGTCTTACTATACTTGTGAGGACTTTTTGGGGACCAACAATTGATTCCTATTCAAAATCCTATTTTCCCTAACCCTAAACCTAACCACTGACCCTTAACCCTAAGCCTAAAATAGCATTTTTTACAAGTGGGGACTGGCAAAATGTCCTCACTTCTCTGAATCTCAGTTGGTTTACTATTCTTGTGAGGACTTCTGATACTCACAAGTATAGTAAAACGTGTACACACACACTGTCATCACCATACGTGCTCACACATCCCTAGCTGCTTTTAGCAACGCAGGTGTATTTACATACACTAGCATTGCTTTCAATTGTATTGGGTTGCACAAAAACAGTCCGCGTTAAGGTAGAAGTTAAATACAATTCCATTTCAACTTACTGTGCCAGTGGGCAGGACACTTGTTATTATGACGGGGGTAATTTGAGACAAAATATCTTAAGGATTGCATTATTAAACAGACTTTCCAAACATGGGTGTCTTGGAGACCAACTTCCTCTCTGCTTAGCTCATGTCACAATAAAAGTCCTGCACATGCGCCATAAGTGGACAAAAAAGGAATAACGTGTGGGACTTTTATTTTGACATGATGTAAGCAGAGAGGAAGTGGGTCTACAACACACCCACGTTTTGGAAGTCTGTTAAATAATACCATCCTTTAGATATTTTGTCTCAAATTCCCCCCATCATAATGACCAACCTTCCCGCCCACAGGCACAGTAAGTTGAAATGGAATTCCAGCTAATACATCCCCATTGTATTGTCTGTAAACACAACACCAACAAAAAGTTTGTGTTGTTTTTACATACGGTGCAATTGACTGTTAACCATTATCAACTGATTGTTTTGAGTAGAATAACAATGATGTCAAGAGTGAGCTGCTCCCCAAAAACAAGGTTATAAAAGGCTACAACTAAGCACGCTCTCCCTGCCCATTGTAAGTAGATTTTGTGATGAGTTGTGTTTTTGTTTGTTTGTTTCACACAGAGGACTGGGGTGATGGGAGTCATGCAGAAAGTCAATCCGTTCAAAACCACAACACAGGTTACTACATCAGTAATGTTAAATAGATTACTATTTTCATTTCCTGGTCCCATATCAGTATGTTCTGCTTTGCAAACTCCTAAGGTCATTGTCACACCAACGACCGTAGAAGTTGGCAAGGCATAGAAATATAATCTATTTATATTTGGCAAGGCAGGATAAACTGATCTGGGACCAGGGCCTGTATTCAAAAAGTGTCTCACAGTAGGAGTGCTGATCTAGGATCAGTTTTGCCTTTCAGATCATAATGAGTAAGATAGGGAGAGTGTCATCCTATATCAGCACTCCTACTCTGAGACGCTTTATAAATACAGGCCCAGGCTACTATTTTTAGTGGAAACAAACACCAAAGATCCTCATTGATCCTTCTCTTCCACCCAGACCTCCTCTACAGCCAGTACAGCTACAGATCCAGTGTCAGAGAAGACTGTGGATAGAAATGTCCCTGACACGAAACAGGTAGATTTCTGCTCTGCATACTCTGTATCTAAACTAATCCGACTTGTCAGACTTCTGTTCCTTTTCATTATTAATAAAAAAATAAGATATGTGTGATATAATTGAGGGAACCATGATGCTTGTATGTCCTCTGTAGCTCAGCTGGTAGAGCACGGCGCTTGTAACGCCAAGGTAGTGGGTTCGATCCCCGGGACCACCCATACACAAAAATGTATGCACGCATGACTGTAAGTCGCTTTGGATAAAAGCGTCTGCTAAATGGCATATTATTATTATTATTATTTGTTGCAGAACCCGGGTATGTTTAAAGGAGTAACACAGAAAGTCAACCCATTCAAGTCCTCTACACAGGTATTACCTATAATCCACTTGATCATACTATGTTGTTCAACACTATGTTCTTTATATTTAGTACCCATTTGTGGGTGTTTGTGTTTTTTAGGTGAGAAAAGAGGACCCTCCAAAAGACACTGTGGATCAGGAAAAGCTACCAGAAGGCAAACAGGTAAACCTGTCTGTTCATCCTTGGATCTAAAGCATCATTATCCTTAGTATATTTACATTTTAGTCATTTAGCAGACGCTCTTATCCAGAGCGACTTACAGTTAGTGAGTGCATACATTTTCATACTGGCCCCCCGTGGGAATCGAACCCACAACCCTGGCGTTGCAAACGCCATGCTCTACCAACTGAGCTACAGAGTATAGGACTATATTAGTGTGTAGAGTAAAATTGTATTATTGCTGCTGTACTGAAAGTCTTTTGTGTGTCACGTGTGCACCTTTTAGGTCGTCCAGAACCCTGGAATGTTCACGGGAATGATGCAGAAAGTCAATCCTTTCAAATCTACAGCACAGACACAGGTAGTGAAGATGATGAGTTCACTAGTCACATTACAGTTGTCTCATGAAATACATTTGGTCACCCTGTATCATATTGCAAATACGTTTTATTTTTTATTTTGGACTGATAATTAGAATAACATTACTAATGGAAAGCGGCAAATATTCAAATACCCTATTTTTCGCTCTCTTTCCTTATGTTTGAGGACACTCAGTCGATACACAGTGATCTGTCCTCCAGTGCTGGCAGTATGGCTGAGAACAGCTCAACAGAAAGACAGGTACAACACATGTCAAAATAATGTCCTACCTGTAATCTATTGAAGACTATTCTGTGCATTTGGTATCTGTTTGCTTGTGTTTCAGGTGAGAAAGGAGGACCCTTCAACAGACACTGTAGATCACCAAGTGACAGCGAAGCTACCTGAAGCCAAGCAGGTAAAGATGTTTATCAATGTACAGTATAATGAGTTGAATAACTTTAAGGGTTGATCATCCTGAAAGGGATTTGTGTGCCATGTGGTTTGATTTAGCAGAACCCTGGAATGTTCACGGGAATGATGCAGAAAGTCAACCCATTCAAATCTGCTGCACAGACACAGGTACTTATAATGATGATGGTGGTAGTGACAGTGATGATGATAATGCTGTATCATATTGCAATTACATAATTTGGGACTGATGGTTTTGGTTATGCAAAATACCTAGTTGTGCTAAATAAGCAAACTCCCTCTTTTCCTGATTTCTCCCTTTGTCCTCTTTTTCAGGATACTCTGTCCATACACAGCAATCTGGCCTCCAGTGCTGACAGTTTGGCTTCCACAGGAAAACAGGTACAATAGAACATCTCTACAAAAAAACTAAAATATATATATAGTACCAGTCAAGAGTTTGGACACACCTACTCACCTTACGGGCCCTTCCCAACAATGTAGAGAGAAAGAACATAGAGAATTAATAGAAAAAGTAAAACGCATAATGATAAAAGTAATAATAGATACCCAAAGAGTAAAGATAACTTGGCTATATACACGGGGTACCGAGTCAATGTGAAGGGGTACATGGTAATTGAGGTAAATACTGTATGTACATACAGTTGAAGTTTACACATACTTAGGTGGAGTCATTAAAACTTGTTTTTCAACCACTCCACACATTTCTTATTAACAAACTATAGTTTTGGCAAGTCGGTTTGGACATCTGCTTTGTGCATGACACAAGTAATTTTTCCAACAATTGTTTACAGACAGATTATTTCACTTATAATTCACTTTATCACAATTCCAGTGGGTCAGAAGTTTACATACACTAAGTTGACTGTGCCTTTTAAACAGCTTGTAAAATTACAGAAAATGATGTCATGGCTTTAGAAGCTTCTGATAGGCTAATGGACATAATTTGAGTCAATGGGAGTTGTACCTGTGGATGTATTTCAAGACCTTCCTTCAAACTCAGTGCCTCTTTGCTTGATATCATGGGAAAATCAAAAGAAATCAGCCAAGACCTCAGAAAAACAATTGTAGACCTCCACAAGTCTGGTTCATCCTTGGGAGCAATTTCCAAACGCCTGAAGGTACCACGCATATCTGTACAAACAATAGTATGCAAGTATAAACACCATGGGACCATGCAGCCATCATACCGCTCAGGAAGGAGATGCGTTCTGTCTCCTAGAGATGAACATACTTTGGTGCGAAAAGTGCAAATCAATCCCAGAAGAACAGCAAAGGTCCTTGTGAAGATGCTGGAGGAAACGGGTACAAAAGTATCTATATCCACAGTAAAACGAGTCCTATATCGACATAACCTGAAAGGCCGCTTAGCAGGAAGAAGCCACTGCTCCAAAACCACCATAAACAAGCCAGACTACGGTTTGCAACTGCACATGGGGACAAAGATCGTACTTTTTGGAGAAATGTCCTCTGGTCTGATGAAACAAAGATAGAACTGTTTGGCCATAATGACCATTGTGTTGGAGGAAAAAGGGGGTGCTTGCAAGCCGAATAGCACCATCCCAACCGTAAAGCACGGGGGTGGCAGCATCATGCTGTGGGGGTGCTTTGCTGCTAGAGGGATTGGTGCACTTCACAAAATAGATGGCATCATGAGGAAGGAAAATTATGTGGATATATTGAAGCAACATCTCAAGACATCAGTCAGGAAGTTAAAGCTTGGTCGCAAATGGGTCTTCCAAATGGACAATGCAACCACAAGCACACTTCCAAAGTTGTGGCAAAATGGCTTAAGGACAACAAAGTCAAGGTATTGGAGTGGCCATCACAAAGCCCTGACCTCAATCCTATAGAAAATGTGTGGGCAGAACTGAAAAAGCGTGTGCGAGCAAGGGGGCCTACAAACCTGACTCAGTTACACCAGCTCTGTCAGGAGGAATGGGCCAAAATTCACCCAACTTATTCTGGCAAGCTTGTGGAAGGCTACCTGACACGTTTGACCCAAGTTAAACAATTTAAAGGCAAAGCTACCAAATACTAATTGAGTGTATGTAATCTTCTGACCCACTGGGAATGTGATGAAAGAAATAAAAGCTGAAATAAATGGTTAAGAGCGTTGTGCCAGTAACCGAAAGGTCGCTGGTTCTAATCCCCGAGCCGACTAGGTGAAAAATCTGCCGATGTGCCCTTGAGCAAGGCACTTAACCCTAATTGCTCCTGTAAGTCGCTCTGGATAAGAGCGTCTGCTAAATGACTCAAATGTAATGTAAAAAATGTATTATTCTGACATGTCACATTCTTAAACTAAAGTGGTGATCCTAACTGACCTAAGAAAGGGAATTTTTACTAGGATTAAATGTCTGGAATTGTGAAAAACTGAGTTTAAATGTATTTGTTTAAGGTGTATGTAAACTTCTGACTTCAACTGTGTAACTAGGAATAAAGTGACAGTAAATACTAGCAGCAGCATATGTGATGAGTCAAAAAGTATATAGCATCTACACCTATCCATGAAATGTCCCACCTGTAAACTGCACAGGTACAAGGTTACCAGAACACCAGGCTTTCCTATTTACATTTGGTATCCATTTGTGTGTATTTTAGGTGAGAAAGGAAGACGTTCCAACGGACACTGTGGATCACCACGTCACAGCAAAGCTACCAGAAAGCAAACCAGTAAACCTGTTCATGAGGCATAAATAAGCAATACTGATGAAGATGTTTTTTTTTGCTGTCATACAGAAGATTTGTTTGCCTTGTGTTTTGCAGCAGCAGAATCCTGGAATGTTTATGGGAATGATGCAAAAAGTCAACCCTTTCAAATCTACAACACCGAATCAGGTAGTCATGATGATGATGATCAATCTGTATCATATTGCAAAGTTATGCTAAATATGAAATCTACTATTTTCTCTCCTTTCTTTTCAGGACACCCAGTCCATACACAGTGATTTGTCCTCCAGTGCTGGCAGTCTGGCTGAGAATAACAGTTTTGCAGGCAAAGAGGTAAACCCGTTTATCCTTGGTGCTGAGGCATACATCTTCTTAGTATAGAAATACAACAGTGCTGGTAGAGGAACATTTTTATTATCACTACTAAGTGATTTCTGTGTTCACCTGGTTTTTCAGAACCCTGGGATGTTCAAGGGAATGATGCAGAAAGTCAACCCATTCAAATCTACAACACAAACCCAGGTAGTCTACTCACCCTTGTTGTACTGCATCTACAACACAAACCCAGGTAGTCTACTCACCCTTGTTGTACTGCGTCTACAACACAAACCCAGGTAGTCTACCTACCCTTGTTGTACTGCGTCTACAACACAAACCCAGGTAGTCTACTTACCCTTGTTGTACTGCGTCTACAACACAAACCCAGGTAGTCTACTCACCCTTGTTGTACTGCATCTACAACACAAACCCAGGTAGTCTACTGACCCTTGTTGTACTGCGTCTACAACACAAACCCAGGTAGTCTACTGACCCTTGTTGTACTGCAAAGGAAGCTCCAATAGTTTAGACTAGTGTTTCCCAAACCTGTCCTGGAGTAACCCCAGCCAGTCCAGTTATTTGATATATTCCAGAACTAGCACTGCTGATCCAACTAATGAAGGGTTTGATGATTAAGAGGCCGTTTGAATCAGCTGTGCTAGTTCTGGAATAAATCAAAGACGTGGACTGGCTGGGGGTACTCGAGGAGAGGTTTGTGAAACACTGGTTTAGACTGACTGGTAGAATGTCACTATATGCAAAATGGCAAATATTTAATTGGTAGAGCATGGCGTTTGTAACGCCAGGGTAGTGGGTTCGATCCCCGGGACCACCCATACGTAAAAATTTATGCGCACATGACTGTAAGTCGCTTTGAATAAAAGCGTCTGCTAAATGGTATATTATTAATATTATTATTATTATTATTATTATTATTATTATTATTATTATTATTATTATTTAAATACTCCCCCTCTCTTCCTCTCACTCCCTTCCTACCTCTCCCTTCATTTCAGGAGACTCAGCCGTTACACAGTGATTCATCCTCCAGTTCTGACAGTCTGAATGACACCAACGTCTTACCCCCTACAGAGAATCAGGTACAACAACACGTCTATGATGTCCCAACTGCAAAATCAAATGCAGGTGTATATTTCACGTACAGGGTTAGCCAAAATGACAACTTACTCCATGACTTGTTACAGAGCGTGTGGTACACAGACAATGACGCAATGTTTTCAGTGAAAAGTGAACCTCCACAAGAAAATAAGAAAAGGACTGGGGTATGTAACTTTAAAAAAAAACATACTATTATGACTATTATATTATACAATTCATCAAATGTATTTTAAAAAGTCATTTTACATCAGCAGTTGTCACAAAGTACCACACTATAATACTATCATCTTATTTAAGTACATCATCTACATAGGGCCTCTTCACAGGGCGTGTTGTTATGTTTCTGTCTGTTTGTCTCTCTGGTAGACATTCCGAATCCGAAGGATTCTCCCTGGTACTCTGTTTGGCTACGGAGCTACAGTAACCATATTTTCACTCTTCCTTTTGGTCTTAGTCATTCCTGTCTTTTTTACTCTAGGTGTTCTTTCTTAATTTTCATATGAATAATAATAATATTACAATTTAATAATATCTTCACTTATATTCATCTTTATTTTCATACAGAATACTGATGCTCAGCCCACAGCCCAGGTGGGCATAGTGGAGGTCCAGAAACTGGAGATGGCTGCAGTGCCAGTACCTAGTGAAGGAAACCCACTGGACAGTGAGGATGTATGTATCACATGTACTATGTTGCATTATGATACTTCATAATTTACTATGACACTGGACGGTGGTTATTGAACATGTATGCCTTAAATCGCAATATAACCTTACAACATATTACTCAGTATGACACTATACCTTGTTTGTGCATTCATACTGCATTATGTGTATGTGACTAATAGTATTTTATTCTCAGAATGAGGAAGGCCTTATGGATTGGTGGAAAACAGTAGAGGGTATGTTTGGCATGAAGCACTATTTTTCACCAGTGTGTATGTGTGTTCTCCTGTCGTTGTTTACAGTAACTACAGGTTATATCTCTGCTCCCCCTAGGTTGGGAAACGTGGAATGAGTCCAACACCTTTGAAGCGGATGAAGGAGAGATGTAAGTATTTACCCATTGGTTATGTCGTTTTAAGATAAATTGTCAATGTGAGATTTCAGGCAATGTGTATTACACGTCTTTAGGGAACCCAACTGAACTTCATAACACAGAGAAATGATATTTATAGTGTAAGATCAGGCTTACTTCTCCAGGATTCTTACTTCTCCTTCCCTTTTTCCATCACTCTCTTTCTCCTCCTTCCCCTCTCTCTCAGGGCAGTGGAGGCGGTGGCGGACCGTGTCTTCATGGCGGCCCGTCTGTTCGTGCGCCTCTTCAACCAGCGCGGTGCCTCCTTACAGCAACGCATCCTGGAGCTCCTATCATTGGCTGATGCCGCCGACAGCTTCCACAAGAGGACTGTGAAGGCCAGCGTGGGGGGTGGAGTCGCCAGCGTTGCCGGGAGCATCACCACTATCACCGGCCTCATCTTGGCGCCGTTCACCATGGGAACGTCGCTCATCGTCACGGCAGTGGGCATCGGCGTCGCGACGGCGGGGGGGGTAGCGTCAGCCTCTGCGAATATTACCGATACGGTGCACTCCAAGACAGACAGGAAGAAGGTGGAGAAGATGATTCAGGATTACCAGGAGGAGATGAAGGATATCAAGGAGTGTCTGGACTTTTTGCAGGTGGGTGTAGGGTGGAGTTGCCCTTAGATCAGGGGTCGGCAACATGCGGCCCACATGCCAAAACTGGCCCGCTAGTGATTTCTTTTGGCCCCCCAAATGTTGGTAGTCTGCCAGTCTGCCTGCCTTTCTTTATAATTTTGTTTTTAAGTAAAAAAAAGACTGTAAAATCACCAGGAATTCAGCAAAAAATTAGTTTAGTTTAGGAAATCTGTTCCCATGTATTCCCACAAATAAAAAAGAAACGTGATCGTGTCTCAATGTAATCAAGGTATGACTTGACCAAGGAATGTCTTGACCTTTGACTTTATATCATGTTGTTGCTTCTTTTCTTACTCTCCCTTTTATTTCTCCCTTGCGCTCTCTCTTTCTCCATCTCTCTCCATCCACCCCAGGTCGGTATGGAGACCCTGGAGGAGTGGGACTTTGACCAGTACGTGGACAGCATCTCTAAGAAATATCTCAACCAGAATGTCAAACACGTGATGAAGGAAGGTGGCCGGGCCGGCAAGGCATTACTAATCAACACAGAAAGTCTGATCAACACCGTGCAGGTTCTCAACGTGGCAGGCGGCGCGGCCAAGGCCGCCCAGGTACATGATGATGATGATGATGATGATGATGATGATTAGTACATTATTTGTTAGGGACAGATTAGGGACGTGAACGTTTAAACGTTCAAATATTTAAACTAAATTGGGATACTTAACATTAAGAAAAAAAAGATTTTTTCGCCCCACAAAATTAAAATCACAGTGCAGTTATCACAAAACATATTATTTTCTGTGTTATAGCCTAACTAGACGATAAGCTATAAAGGCCTGGGGAACGTTGCATAATTTAAATAAAACCAGAGAGGAAGAGGCAAACTGTAGGCTACTTTGGTGAATTTTCGAGGCATACATCCTTTCTCCCTGAGTGGCGCAGTGGTCTAAGGCACTGCATCGCAGTGCTAACTGTGCCACTAGAGATCCTGGTTCGAATCCAGGCTCTGTCGCCGCCGGCCGCGACCGGGAGACTCATGGGCGGCGCACAATTGGCCCAGCGTCGTCCAGGGTAGGGGAGGGAATGGCCGGCAGGGATGTAGCTCAGTTGATAGAGCATGGCGTTTGCAACGCCAGGGTTGTGGGTTCGTTTCCCACGGGGGGCCAGTATAAAAAAAATATGTATTCACTAACTGTAAGTCGCTCTGGATAAGAGCGTCTGCTAAATGACTAAAATGTAAAATGTAAATGTAAAATACAAGACGTTGCTAGATACAGATTACCTTGCCAGAAGATACTGACCCTACCGTTACGCTTGTTTACACTGATCTGCACTGGGGTGAGAACGCAATCATGGTTATATTAAGACACCGTGGAGCCGATGCGAGATATGGGTCGAAAAACGTCAATGCAGGGATGGTATATGTCACTGTACTGCAAATTGTACCTTTATCCATACTGCTCCATCGAGAAGATTGAAATACTGCTAGTTTTCCTTGGAAACTGACCTTTTCGTTCTCATGCTAGATAGCAGTAGCCACAGCAGCCATTATGGAATGCACGTCGTATTGAACAACAAAGGAGCTGATTGGCTTCCTGCCATTCCAAAAAGGCTGTGGTGGCTACTGCTAGCTAGCATGAGGACGAAAAGGGCAGTTTCCTGGGAAAACTAGCAGTATTTAAATCTTCTTGATCCTAACGGAATCGAATTTTGCCATAGAAATGGGAGTCAACACCGGGAGTCGACGTGCAAGGAGTCAATTATTTTGGAGTCAAATCTCCACCACTACGTCGTTAACAGTTAAGCGACAGCTGTGAAGTCCTTTATGGCAATACTTTGAGAAGTTAAATGAAAAGGAAATGCAGACTTTGCAAGTGGAATTGAGGTACAGTAATGGTAGTACAGGTGCAATGCTTAACCATCTGAAACGGAAGCATCGTGAGACCCAAACCGTTCCTTACGCAGCTGCATTGTGAATTCACATGGAATGTTAAGACATTTTCTTATCGTTTTAACGGAAAACAGATTTAAAAATATAGGTTTTAAACATTAAGAAAAATTCTCAATTTGTCACATCCCTAGGACAGATACAGTGGGGGAAAAAAGTATTTAGTCAGCCACCAATTGTGCAAGTTCTCCCACTTAAAAAGATGAGAGAGGCCTGTAATTTTCATCATAGGTACACGTCAACTATGACAGACAAAATGAGAAAAGAAAATCCAGAAAATCACATTGTAGGATTTTTTATGAATTTATTTGCAAATTATGGTGGAAAATAAGTATTTGGTCAATAACAAAAGTTTCTCAATACTTTTATATACCCTTTGTTGGCAATGACACAGGTCAAACGTTTTCTGTAAGTCTTCACAAGGTTTTCACACACTGTTGCTGGTATTTTGGCCCATTCCTCCATGCAGATCTCCTCTAGAGCAGTGATGTTTTGGGGCTGTCGCTGGGCAACACGGACTTTCAACTCCCTCCAAATATTTTCTATGGGGTTGAGATCTGGAGACTGGCTAGGCCACTCCAGGACCTTGAAATGCTTCTTACGAAGCCACTCCTTCGTTGCCCGGGCGGTGTGTTTGGGATCATTGTCATGCTGAAAGACCCAGCCACGTTTAATCTTCAATGCCCTTGCTGATGGAAGGAGGTTTTCACTCAAAACCTCACGATACATGGCCCCATTCATTCTTTCCTTTACACGGATCAGTCGTCCTGGTCCCTTTGCAGAAAAACAGCCCCAAAGCATGATGTTTCCACCACCATGCTTCACAGTAGGTATGGTTGTTCTTTGGATGCAACTCAGCATTCTTTGTCCTCCAAACACGACGAGTTTAGTTTTTTACCAAAAAGTTATATTTTGGTTTCATCTGACCATATGACATTCTCCCAATCCTCTTCTGGATCATCCAAATGCACTCTAGCAAACTTCAGACGGGCCTGGACATGTACTGGCTTAAGCAGGGGGACACGTCTGGCACTGCAGGATTTTAGTCCCTGGCGGCGTAGTGTGTTAATGATGGTAGGCTTTGTTACTTTGGTCCCAGCTCCCTGCAGGTCATTTACTAGGTCCCCCCGTGTGGTTCTGGGATTTTTGCTCACCGTTCTTGTGATCATTTTGACCCCACGGGGTGAGATCTTGTGTGGAGCCCCAGATCGAGGGAGATTATCAGTGGTCTTGTATGTCTTCCATTTCCTAATAATTGCTCCCACAGTTGATTTCTTCAAACCAAGCTGCTTACCTATTGCAGATTCAGTCTTCCCAGCCTGGTACAGGTCTACAATTTTGTTTCTGGTGTCCTTTGATAGCTCTTTGGTCTTGATAGCTCTTTGGTCATAGTGGAGTTTGGAGTGTGACTGTTTGAGGTTGTGGACAGGTGTCTTTTATACTGATAACAAGTTCAAACAGGTGCCATTAATACAGGTAACGAGTGGAGGACAGAGGAGCCTCTTAAAGACGAAGTTACAGGTCTGTGAGAGCCAGAAATCTTGCTTGTTTGTAGGTGACCAAATACTTATTTTCCACCATCATTTGCAAATAAATTCATAAAAAATCCTACAATGTGATTTTCTGGAATTTTATTTTCTCAATTTGTCTGTCATAGTTGACGTGTACCTATGATGAAAATTACAGGCCTCTCTCATCTTTTTAAGTGGGAGAACTTGCACACTTGGTGGCTGACTAAATACTTTTTTTCCCCACTGTACAATTAAAACATTTACACATTTAATCATCGACAGGCAGATGCATTGCACCATCATGCTTTAGCTGGTGCTAATTTGCAGCATCCGTCCCTAGATGGGGTTTAAAATAGGGGAAATGAAATAACAAGAAAACAAATCACTGATCAAAACAAACAATATAAAATGGATCACAAATGGTTAAATTCTTGATGTTCTCCATGTGCTGATTTGCTTGTTCTTATTTTAATTTATTTTTTTAGGTGATGAGTCTCACCACAGGAGTAATGTCAGGTCTCTTCCTGGCCCTGGATGTCTTCTTCCTGGCCAAGGACTCCATCGAGCTCAACAAGGGAGCCAAGACGGAGTTTGCTGGGAAGATCAGGGAAGTGTGTAAGGATCTGCAGAATGGACTGTTGGAGCTCAACCGCATCAAAGAGCAACTGCAGAAAACTATGGATGGGATTGAGGTGGAGGAAGAGGAGGAGGAGGTGTACGAGTCTGATTCAGAGAAACTGGGCCAGCTGGAAGAATGAGTGAAGGAAGAGAGGGAGTGAAGGAAGTTTGGGGTTGTGAAACCTAAAGCTTTTGACCTAATATTGAGACCAATTTGTTTTGTTACCTACTCCATTACATGCAATATACCTATTATATGTCCTATGTTTCAGCCAGAAAAAGGTGCCTAGAATGTTTTGACGTGGCCAAACCTTGTCAAATTGCCATTTTATTTTTCAGTTGAGAATGTAGTGCCTTATTTAATATAACACTGATGGTGTCACTAGTCTTCCTATTTCTGTATTTAGCACATTTTTATGGGTGTTCAGTAGGGGAGACTTGGGTATGTTGAGCCATTCTTTACATTCAGCATCACTATGTCAAGGTAAATATAGTATTCTTTCTAACAAAGATATCTACATATATTTCAGGATGTCATGTATCCCTGGAAATAATCAGAATGAATGTAAACATAACGGTTTTGAAAACCATAGCTTGTCCAAAAACAACTTTTTAAAATACTTTTAACATAGGCTCAGGCCCTGGTTTAACCTCATATCCCAGTGATGATGCCTTGGAAGAAAACAATTCAATTGTGGCCTAAAGGGGGGTGAACCCAACTGAGGAAGGCATTTATCATCATTTGAATATGATTAATCCTACTTCTTCAAAAAAACAATGCTTGTTATGCATAAAACTGACAATGTAATCATCATTTGTATGGGGTATATTGATTAGCCAATGGCTCAATTTGCCCCTTGCCAAATTGTACAATTTACCCCTTGCCAAATTGCACAATTTACCCCAAAGCCACCATTTTGACTATATTAGCCCACACAAGGATGCACTTTCATGTTAGATTTAAGACTTCATATTGTAGCTTATAAAGACCTCAAATGATGTATAAAATGATAAACTTTAGTTTAGGTACAAGCAGTGGTGTAAAGTACTTATGTAAAAATACTTTAAAGTACTACTCAAGTAGTTTTTTGGGGGTATCTGTACTTTACTTTACTAACTTTTACTTCACTACATTCCTAAAGAAAATGATGTACTTTCTACTTCATACATTTTACCCTGACACCCAAAAGCACTTGTTACATTTTGAATGCTTAGCAGGACAGGAAAATGGTCTAATTCACATATTTACTAACAGAACATCCCTGGTCATCCCTACTGCCTCTGATCTGGGGGACTCACTAAATACATGCTCTGTTTGTAAATGATGTCTGAGTTGGAGCATGCCCCTGGCTATCCGTCAATAAAAATAAAATAAAAACTAGAAATGTGGCCATCTGCTTTGCTTAGTATAAGGAATTTAAAATTATTTATACTTTTACTTTTGATACTTAAGTACATTTTAGCAATTACATTTACTTTTGATACTTAAGTATATTTAAAACCAAATACTTTTAGACTTTTACTCAAGTAGTATTTTACTGGGTGACTTTTACTTGAGTCATTTTCTATAAAGGTATCTTTACTTTTACTCAAGTATGACAATTGGGTACTTTTTCCACCACTGGATACAAGCATGATGAAACCTATAACACAAATGAATTAGACTTTGTGAAAATCTTTTTTTTGGACCTAACTTGTTTAACACTTTTTCCATGTGGGTTCTTCCGAAGACTCCAAAGTATTTGTCACATGATTCATTTTGTGTATGGTTTCCTAGAAACAAGGGGTTGCGCAATTAACCCTTTTCCACAACTTACCCCACTTTCCCCTACTGTGAAATATATAGGTTTTAAAACATGTAGTTGAATAGTAATATATTTTAAATAATGTATTTGTATTGTAATATTGTTGATTAAAATGTCAGACTTAGATGTTGCAGATTCAAGATGACATCTACATAGATTAAAAAAAGAATATATACACTGAGTGTACAATATATGAAACACCTGCGCTTATGGGTGGTCCCAGGAATCAAACTCCCTACCCTGGCGTGACAACTGCGCTACCCAGGACCACTAGTATCAATGTCAACCCTGGAGCAATTGGAGATAAGCGCCTTGCTAAGTATACAGCAGAGATGTATACTTAGCAAAAGTATACAGCAGAGATGGACAACCAATTGACTGTATGTACTATCAGTCTTTGCGACAAAAGCAACTGCGGCAGGTAGCCTATGGGTTAGGGTGCTGGGCCAGTAGCCAAAAGGTCTTTAGGTCGAATCCCTGACCTGGTGAATGTCACGAGAATTTTGTTATCTCAAATGGTTGAAGTCAACTACTTCTTAAGTCTTTGAATAATTCCCAAGAGGTTGTAAATCTCTTAGTTTAAATAAATTAAACAAAGACTCAATCCTGCAATGGTCAGCCTTTATTCATTGAGAGCGCTCTGAAAATCATAGAATGCACAACGTTTTTTATACCTCTACTACGCCCCTAAGTGGGCCAATGAGAAAGCTCCTAGGCAATTGTCACATTTGTCACCACCCTTTAGGCAATTGTCACATTTCTCTGTAAGCTTGAAGAAGCAACCTAGTCGTCTTTTCCTGTGTCTATTTCACACTTATTAAAAAAAAAAAAAAAAATAGTCTGTTGCTGAGCAAATATGTATCTTATACAGACACCTAAGATGGGGACATGTTCTTCAGTGTCTAGTTTCACATCCTGTTTCCTGCTAGCATAGATATGAAAATAAGCCAAAGCCCTTGTTTTTCTTCTAACTAAGCTTAACACATTATCAGATTGTAGTTTTATGATTCTATTACATTCCTATAATTTTCAAGGTGTAATACTTTAGTCACATTAACAAATTCCTCTATCAGTGAAACATTTGTTCATGTGTATGGAAAGCCAAAAGTTTCAAATCGTCTTACCCGGAACACGTCTTAACACTTGTTATGGTCATTTTTCACTTGCTTTTTTCAAGTGTCAAAAGTCATTTTTACACGTATTCTTTACACCTTTCCAGTGTCCATTGACAGGTGATTAGAACGCTTGTTATGGTCATTTTGACACGTGTTCATTACACGTGTTCAGTGTGCATTTATAGGTGATTAGAACGCTTGTTACGGTCATTTTTATACGTGTTCATTACCCATGTTCAGTGTGCGTTTACAGGTGATTAGAACGCTTGTTACGGTCATTTTTATACGTGTTCATTACCCATGTTCAGTGTGCGTTTACAGGTGATTAGAACGCTTGTTATGGTCATTTTATACATGTTCACTACACCTGTTCAGTGTGCATTTACAGGTGATATTAACGCTCTATCCCAGAGACTAGAGTCTCGCTCCAGAGACTGGGTGGGCCGACCCCCGGGGGCTGGATCCCGGAAAGCACCACTACATCCAGCCAGCTCCCTTCCCCCAGGGATATGGAGAGAGAGGGCAGAGGCTGACCCAGGCAGGGGGGCCTACCCCCGCCCACGGCCACCAGGGGGCACCAGTACATCCAGCCAGCTCCCTGCTCCAGAGAGATGAGGGGAGAGGGCTGAGGTCGACCAAGGAAGGGAGCCGTCCCCCAGAGAGGGGAGCCAACCCCCGCCCACAGCAACCAGGGGGCGCCAATACTTCCACCCAGCTCCCTTCCCTAGGGAGGTTGCCCGACCCCCGCCAGCAGCCACCACGGGGCGCCACTTCATCCAGCCATCTCCCTGCCCAAGGGATATGGGGGGAGAGGGGTGGGGCCAACTCAGGGAAGGAGGGCCGAGCCCCGGAGAGGGTGCCCTATCTCTGCCCGCTGCCAAGGCTGCAATGGGGCGCCACTCCATCCAGCCAGCTCCCTGCACTAGGGAGATCAGCGGAGAGGGCCAGAGAGAGATGGGGCCTACCCAGGGAGAGGGGGGCCAACACCTGGAGAGAGGGCCGACCCCTGCCCACGGCCACCAGGGGGTGCCACTACATCCAGCCAGCTCCCTGCACCAGCGAGATGGGGAAGAGGGCCAGAGAGGGCTGGGGCCGACCCAGGGAGGGTGAGGTCGTCCCCCGCAGAGGGGGGCCGACCCCCTGCCCTTGACCACCAGGCAGCCAGTACATCACACTGCTCTCTGCACCAGGAAGAGTGGGGGAGACGGCCAGAGAGGGATGGGCCAACCCAAGGAGGGGGTGCTTACCGCCGGATAGAGGACCCGACACCTGCCCCTGACCACCATATTATCTCATATAAGAAAACGTATAAGATCTCCTAAGCCCATCTTAACCTGACCTTATTTTCTGCGTTTTGTCATATTTCTACCAAATCAATGCAAATAGTCTGGGTAGCCATGATGTTCAGGAGTCTTATGGCTTGGGGGTAGAAGCTGTTAAGAAGCCTTTTGGACCTAGACTTGGCGCTCCGATACCGCCTGTTGTGCGGTAGCAGAGAGAACAGGCCATGACTAGGGTGGCTGGAGTCTTTGACAATTTTTAGGGCCTTCCTCTGACACCGCATGGTATAGAGGTCCTGGATGGCAGGGAGTTCAGCCCCAGTGATGGACAGGACTTGGTGTATAGAGTGCATAACTGACTGAAACATCAGTCAAAAAATACAAAGAAAGTGATTTAATCCCCATAGCCAGAAAGCCAGACATAAATTGTCTCTTTAAATTATCTTCATTAAATTCTTCAGGGTTCCTTGGACAATCTATGTGTTCTAAAGTATGAGGTCTAAAGTACCCCTGTTTTTCTGTCCCACAGAACTCCAACATAATCTCAAACATCAATTTGTCTAGGTAAACTACTCTATGAGCCATGGTGACATAGACTACCCACTCCAAACAGCTAAACAGGGTTGAAATACCTCAGGCTGCCATTCTGTTTGAACAATACACTGAAAGGAAACACACTCCTCTTCTGTGACACTAACCATGTTTCTATCCACAGTTTTTATGCAAGTAAAGTCATATCATAATGGAAACAGGAAGTTTCTGTACAATTTTATAAATGCTGACAGATAATTTGTTCATTCGACAGGGTGGGATCTTTTTGTGTCGGTCAAATTAATTGATAATAGAAAGGGTGGTGGAAATGCCTTTATGTGCAAATATTGATATAATAACCATCATATCGAAGTAAACGGGGTCACGCGATGATAAGGGTTGTGCTCCT